TTTTAGTATTCAAATCAGACGTTAAGATTTAGGTGGAATGGTTGAATATAGTTTAAATAATAAATTGAAAATACATTGTTTAAGCACCTATGAGGATTTTGTTATAAATGCTAATTACTTTCTTATCAGATCAAGTGATCAATATACCTATCCCGATTACCGATAAGAAAGATATGATCATCACTGATACTAAGTCAAAAACTTCAGTGAAGTAAGTTCGGTACACTGACTATATAAAGCCAAGTAGGGGTGATAGGGTAATGAATATATCAATAAAGTTCTGTTAGATTACTCTTATATTTTTATATGGTAGAGAGGTTTCGAACAGTATTGAATTACAACAACAAATTTTATTTATTTTTAATTAATTGAATTTTTGGCTAATAATTCAGTTGTTTCGAGTATTATTAGATATAACATATTAGATTTAACAAACCGAAAAATGTTTTGTATATATATAAACAATTCATATATTTTCTTCTAACCACATAAAGCAAAGTTTCGAAGCTCTCACAGCTCTGGCAACTATTGAAGATTTTGCGGCGCATTGTTCATACGATTGGTTCCTCCATAGGCATCACCTTTTGAAGAATGCATTCCCGTGAAAGCAATAAAAATCATAAAAAAATTGAATTAAGTCAAAACAATAACAATAAAGCACTTTACCAAAAAGGAAAGAATAAAAAAATAAGAAATTTAATACCAAAAATGTTATAGGTAATGAACGAATATAAGACGCGCTATATATACCATATATTTCCGAATACTGATATCAGGCTTAAGAAGTGCTTCTAAATAGTTCAAATAGTTTTTCTTTTAGTAGTTCATTGTATATTAACTATATGAACATAGTCTATTAGGTTATAATTATATTGTTTTTATATTAAAGATCGACATAATAACATATTAATAAAATGCCTATAACGTACACTGGCTCTACGAGAAAAGTAGCTTCAAGCTTGGATTCTCTTGCCTTTATATTACTGTTAACATTGAATAAAATTGAATGTTATGAATTATTTCTTGACCACTTAAGTTTCGTGCAATAAATACTTAAGCAACAATATTGCGATCTTCAAAGTTTTGTAGCAGCAACAACAACAATAACAACAACAACAATAACAGCATTAACTACAAATTCCCAAGTTGTAGCAAATAAAAATGCAACTCACATTTGACAACGATTTGTACTTTAGCTCCTTTTATGGCATATGTGACAAGGCTGCTGCTTCTGTGCCAATCCATACCAATGTCAAGTCTTGCCATGCCATCCGAGATGCGATACCACGCCAAGCCTTGCTGTGCTTTACATTGGTTTGCCTCGGTTTCTGCCTTTATCAGCTTTTGTAACTTCAAATTCGTTGCAATCTTAAATGCTCTCACATTTGCCGTACATTTTTATTGCAACGAATGTAACTATCTTTCAGATACGAGTACAATATCGCAGATACAATTTGGCGAACGCATAACTGCAACAGTAGCGGCAGCGGCAGTGGTTGCAGGCAGAACCTATACGCGTTCCACGGTGAATATCTTCAGAAATGTCTTCTTCACTTGAAGCTTCCAATTGCTGAGCATTTCGTGTGTGATTTGGTTTCTATTTGATTTCCTTGCCTTTTCGATGGCAAAGCAATGCAATTTATGCATTCGAAGATGTCACCGTGCTTATGAGATGCTGAGATGCTGAGCTGTTGTAAGTTGAAGTTGTTGCTGTTGCTGTTGCTGTTGTTGTTGTTTTCACCTTTTTAAGTCATCACAATTTCGTTTCATGATTTACTTTTCCACTTTATTGAATTTTAATCTGAGTAAACGTTTATAATATTTTATGTAGTGTACTCTTTTTTTGTCAAATATTTGCTGAAGAAGTATTTCACAGTTTTGTTGATGTGATATAGTTAATTTCATTCTGATTTTATATGAATTTTGCTTAAAATAATATGAGTAAAACATAATGCGGATTATCTCAGTATACATCAGAACAAATTCCTTCTGAGCCCATCCCTCGGTTTAAAATTGACGTGGCCATAGGATTATCTGGAAAAACAAACTATCAACTTTATTAAAATTAATTTTTAGTTGTCCTCAATAATATATTAAAGAATAAGTTGTCTTTAATCTAAGGCAATAAGTAATTTCGAACAAAATTAAGATTGGATTGATGCAATCGTATAGTTCCAAATCATTGAATTGAGTAAATAAAAAACAATTCCGCATTTGAAAGAGAAGTTTTACAAATTTAATGGTTAATATTTGTTTAGATCCAAAAAAACTGAAGAATCAACACTAAATTTGAGATGTAGATATTGCATATAAATGCAGGTGAACTCTTAAAAATAGTAATTTTTGCTCCAATTATAGATTTTGGTCTGTGAGAATCCAATAAACTGAATTAGGAACTTAAGCTGCAATTCATTCTCAGAAATCCTGTAATATAATCTATGCTCATTAGAGTCTCTTAGTCATAGAACCTTTCCAAAAAGTATATTTTAAGCTGCCTTCGATAAGTTGATAAATCTTTAAGTCTGTCTTTGTCTTTGAAAATAATTCCAGACTTGCCATACACACTGTGAGAGTTTTTCTTCTTCTTTTTACAGTACAAGAAGACTATTTGAGGTAACCTTAGAAGATTTGATGAATCTTTAAGATTGTCTTTGGCCTTTTTTATTCTTCTGATAATTTAAAAATTGAAAATACTTTACGATGTTCCCCATTGCTAGATTATAGAATCAGTAAGGTCTAATTATTTGACGTGGGGCTCCTCGTTTGGCGAGTCAATCAATGCTTTCTTTGATTTCATATTATTCATGACCTGGAATCTACAAAACAGCGACACACTTACTTTGTCTCAATTTAATCAGAAAGGATAGGTTACTACTAAAATCTAATCTCGAAATAACATTAAGTATTAAAATTGATACAAACATACCAGCTAAATGAGCTGCTTGCAATAATTAGAGATGTAGTTATGCGAACGCAAGCCACTTTATCTTTTACTCAATAACGACATCTGAGAATTTGAAGGACGAAATAGCACTCAAGTCCGTTTCGTGGTCTACTTCAGCTAATCTTTCACTTCATTGGGACCATTTGTTGGATGGTGCACTATCCAGACCTCTCACAATATATATATATATACACCTGTCTTCTGTGTATGCAGATACTTTAAGACCTAAATGTTGTAGAATTACCTAATTCTGTTTAATATATTCATTTGACTTTTGATTTGGATTCCACATAATTTCATCAGACATTTTACCAGTACATAAAGCTTTCTCACATTTAATGAACAGTGATTTTATTATGGTCGAAACAATAGTTGTGTCGCTGAAGTTTTATAGCTTTAAAGCAAAGTTACTTTATAACACTTACTCCACTTTATTTTCTAATGAATGTGCATTGCATCGACAACAAAAGATTGCATTCTGTTCTGTTCTTATTTTCTGTCAAATGCTCCCAGTATAAATGTTAACAAAATGTTATTGGCATGCAACTTACAGCTTGTGGCATATTGCATTTTCTTTAGCATACTTCATGGGGCAAAAGATATTAATTACATTCAGTTATTGTAATTTAATTGCATTTACTTTCATAATTCATCATCTTAAATAAATAATTTAATTTCTTTTTTACTATATATGTAAATAATCTTTGTTGAGTTCAATTATCAGTATTTTTGAGCAGTAAAGAACTCGAATGCTTGTTAGCCACAAAATATAAATTCTCTTGACAGCCTTTGTAAATATAAATTTTTAAAAATTTCTTCACATCAACTAAATGTTAAGGATTTGTTTAAAATCTTTTGTTCATAACGAGAAAATGAAACAAAATATGTTATCAAAAAAAATATTAACAAAAATTTGACATATATGGTACATGTCCAAAATAATAACAGAATAGTACTCAGAGCAGTCGGGTACTTTAATATATGGTAAAATTATGTCATACCTAAAATCTCTTAGTTATATGATATGAAAACTTCACTGATCTCGTAATCATGTCTCTTATTTGTATCGCCAAAGGTTGAACAGTTAGTTTCAATCAGTATAATTTACCTATCTAAGCTAAATTATATTAATATTAGGTAAACATAAATAAAATATATTTATATTAAAGAAAAATTTTTCTTATTTTTATAAATAATATCTAATTCAATTAATTAATTTTTTTATTTATTTTCACATTTTTTTTAAATTTTATTTGTGTTTATATATATATTTTTGCTATTTATAAATCTATGTTTTTTTTAATTGATTTAATTTAATGTTTAAAAAAATATTTACTAATTTTTAAATATATTTTGCTCTTCAATTCATACAAAATTTAAATATGCATCCAGCGCGATAAATTCTTCTCCGCAGTGATCTTTACACTTATATCAACAACTTAACAGCGTCAGAAATCTGTTCCCACTATTCGCGTCTTTGTTCTCATGTAAACGTTCTAGCAGCGCACATAAGTCACCCAGCGATGCATTCGTGCTTTGTTGTTGTTGATTTGCGATCATTCGCTTATCAGTAGAAATGGGATACTCTCTGACGTGTTGGTTGCGCATTTGAAGAACTGATGCCCCCATAGGTTTAAAGTCTAAACACATTAATATTATTATGCTTCATTAAAGAAATGAGGTGACCATACGTAGAATATTCAAATGACAAATAAGTTAAACTAAGAAATAACATAGAAATCAATGCAATGCGATAATCACTTAATATTATGTGTTCAGGTTATTCAAGAAGTAGTACTTGGTCGTCTGAAATGACGAGTGATTCCCTGACGAATACCAATCCGATTATGAAATCTTCCATATTTGAAAATTTCTATTAAACTGTTCATTCTGTTTTTCGTCTGGTCACCTTGATCAAATCTGTTTAGTCGTTTGCGAAACAACAAATCCCATTATTCATGGAAATCTTATCTCTGCGAACGATAATAACCATATTTTCTAATAAAGCAAATATATATTCATGAATGAGTTGACTTAACTGCGGAGATAAACTTTATGGCCAGCTGATCAGTGCTTAGAAAGCTACTGAACGTGTTGGATGAGAACTTTGAGTTTAAATTTTATTCGTGAAAGTTTTTGGTTTGAATTTTTAACAACAAAAATGTTTGCTGGCCATTGCAAGCAATTGAATAAAATTATAAATACAAATGTTAATAATATAAGTAAAATATTTAAACGCTGCTTAACAGCGAAATTAGTGGAGAATAAATACGTTGAGATCCAAGAGCAGTCATCCTCAGATGCAGCGGCCATGAAGTTCCCAGGTGTTTGGCTGCGCGACAATTGCTGCTGTGAGGAATGCTTCCATCAAAGTTCTAAGTCACGTCGCATAAATTGGGACAAATTTGATACAAAAGTGCAAGTGACCGACTTGAAGGTGAGTGAGTGAGGCTGTGAGTCGTGTATCACTTAAAATGGCTTATCGAATTTCTTTATATTAAAGGCCGAAGCTATAACAAAACAAGTACATATCAAGTGGAGTGACCAGCATCAATCAATTTTCGATTTGAAATGGTTGAAGGAACGCAATTTTTCCGATGTGCGTCGAAAAGAGTATCTCACAGACTTCTACCGCCCGAAATCGTTGCATTGGAGCGGTGCAGACTTTGAGAAAATTACCGCAAGATTTGATTTCAATGCTGTGATGGAAGACGACAAAGGTGCGAACAAAATATTTATCTTTTGCTTTTTTTTTTTAATTAACATTGTTATATTCCATGACAAGAAGTCTAGTTCTTATAGTGAAAGGGGTTTGATTAGGTTGGAGTGGTGGGTTTCCTTACCAAATCCCTTTTAAGTATAAATTGTCGGTCATTGTAGTAAAGAAGGAAATGGGGGAGAAATTGCAAATTTGAAAATTAATTTCATATTAAGTCAAATATATTGGTTAACCATACATAGATCTGTTTCGGATTGTGTCTACAATCATTAGTGATCTTTTGAAATCTTTATCAGTTTAATAAAACCATGTCAAATTTAAAGTTTAGACCCGCTGGTTAATATACTGGGCCAAGTTGCATTCTTCAAACTTAAAATTAGTCAAATAATATCTTAATTTCTAAAAATTAGCGAAAACTTAAAATTAGCCACAAATAAACTTACTCCCAACACGACTTCTATTCGAATTATATGTACTAAAATTTGAAATAATTTTAGTTTTGCAAGCCTGGTTGGAGGCATTAGCCGTGCGTGGTGTTGGTATTATAAATAACGCTCCACTGGAGAAGACAGTCGTTCGTCAATTAGCTGAGCGTGTTGGTTTCATACGTAAAACAACCTACGGGTAAGTGAAATGGAATAAAAGGAAACAATGCTAATTCGTGTTGCAAAAAAACATAACACCAACAACAATCACAGCATGTTTGTTCCTTGCTCTTTTAAATGAACTAAATTTCATTAACGTTTCCTTCACAAACAGCGAGGAATTCATTGTACAATCGAAACCAGGCGCAAAGAATTATGCCTACCTATCGGACCCACTACCCCTGCACACAGACCTGCCATACTACGAGTACAAGCCCAGCGTCAACATATTGCACTGCATGGTGCAATCAGAATCGCCGGGTGGCAGCAATTTACTGGTAGACGCCTTTCACATTGCAGATCGTCTCAAGGAAGTACATCCGCAGGATTACAAAATTCTAACAGAGACTTTGGTCGATTGGAATGACATTGGCAGCGAAGACGGCAAGAGCTTTCATAACATTTGGCGTGCGCCTGTGATATGGTAAGTGTTGGTTGCCGTGTTGCCGTGAGTGTGGAGGGGAAGACACACAAGGGAGTATCATTAAGTCCTTTAGTGCAAATAGTTTTAGTTTTGCATGTGCCTTTTGTCATAATGGAAAAAGTGCACTACAATTGCTGTACATGCAAAGCCAAAGACCGAGGAGGGCACAGAGCTTGGTTTGCATATAAAATCGATTTTCAATTTTGCTTATCATTTTCGCTTTGCTTTTTATCGTTCGACGCTTTTCATTTACTGGAATTTATCACTCACACCATCAAGAACTTTTACAATATTTTCCACATTTACTTTTTAATAAATATTTTTTATTTCCTTCATTTGCTGCCACCACAGTTTAGATAGCGAAGGAAATTACGCGCGTATAAATCACAGCATACCACAGCGCGACAGCCACTTCTCGGTGCCGCTGAAAGAGGTACTGCCCTGGTATGAGGCCTATGCGAAGTTTGTCACTTTGGCCCGCGACGACGCTTATTCATTCAAAACGAGACCCGGCGACGTTTTAACTTTTAATAATATTCGCTTGCTGCACGGCCGTACCGGGTACGATGACACCGAGGGAAATGTGCGATACATAGTAGGCGCCTATCTCGATTGGGACATCATTTACTCAAAGCTGAGAGTGTTAAAAGGAGCACAGTCTGAAGGGAGGCGGCAGAGTTAATGCACTAAGCACAAAGGCAATATAAAATATTCCTGGCACAAAGGAATGCATTTCCCTGCTCTAATAACATTCTCTATGTAAAAGGACTCGCGTCATTATTGATTTTTAATAAATATCCTGAAATCAGTTTTTTTTGTTTAATTTTGAATGAAGCACAACGAGTTGATTGCATTTTGCAACAAAGTAATGAGGTTAAGTAGTGAATTGTAGTTTGTATGACATAAAATCCGTTTATTGAGAACCCTATAAGTGCTTATTCTAAAGATTATTCGATGGAATTGTCAAAGGAAGTGTGGAGAGTTCGTATTCAGATATAAAATTCAATAAGGATGAATCGAAAGTTCGCATTTTTCAAAAAGTCGAAAAATTTTGATAAGATATGTATTGCAGTGAAAGAACTTTTAATTTTTTTCATTCTATCTAAATTGTTTTTCCTATAAGATACTTTTTAAGATCTATTTGATAAAATGACTAATTTATCAATATCCTCATTAATCTTACTATGAGTGTAGTTAGATATAGATATTTACAAAGTAAAGGTTACTTCGACATTGGTTTGGCAGTTCGGTTCGAATCTTTATCTGCTGAGCTTCTCTTTCTGCCTCTTCTTTCTGATGAAATTGTTTGTTGAAATACTTGCAAAATAAGTACTTAAAAGAGCTTGTAACTTAGTGGGTGTGGTGGAGGAAATCCGCCCAAAGCACTAAATACTAAAAAAAAAAATTAAATATGAATTAAATATGGATCCTTCCGGTACTGGTTGAAGAGCAGAACCTATAGTGAGTGTATATATCAGATATCCAAGGAGTCAGGACGTCACAGTCCAATCTGCCTTCACTATTAATGTTGAGTCCCATGAAGAAATATTATTATTATAATTACTCGTAATCAGAAAGTTTTATTAGGTGTGTAATATTCACTTTATTTTAGGTTAGGTTAAGTTATTATAATGATCCTAGGATTGATGGTTCATTCCTTTTGTGTGTTGCAGTTAATGTTAGGACAAATCACTAAATGGAATAATTGTTAGATACTTTTCTTTTTCTCAGCACCACTATGGTTAGTTTCATACTGAAGAAAAGAACAGAATACATCTTTAAATTTGTTTTTTAACCAATTGTGAGCCCTGAGCAAGTGCATCTTAAGAGTATGATATATTATTTAATAGGCAAAAGTTTGTTTAGATAATATGCAATATTTTTTAATAAAATAGTACTTCAATCGAATTCTATTTAAAATTGAAAATAGAATAAGTTAAGAAAGATAATAGAACTATTTTAACTCGAAGAGATTTAGTAAAAATTGAAAACCATCCTAAAAATCTATTAGCTAAGCCTCCTTAGGTCCTTAGGTTGATGTCTGTTTGGGTTTTCCTCTGTTCGAGTGACTCCTTCAACACTTTCAACTGTTTTATTTAAAAAGTTTTGCGCTGTAAGCCTCGAATCCCATCAAATTAGTTCCAAATTGTCTTAAATTAAGCAATAAAGTAAAAAATTTATTTAAAATCTTAAAAAATCGTAAACTGCGATTGCTTAGAGGACATTAAATGCACTTAGCAGAGCAGCAAGAGTAGCTTTAAGAGTTTGTTTTTATGTGAATTCTTCTGTCGTAAAATAAAATCTCATTCGACTAGAAATCTGTTGAGAATGTCAAGGAGTGCGGCTTCTAAACTTAGGAAACTCATTAAATTAAAAACGATAACATTTTCGCTTGTTCTCCAAACAGTCAATAGCACACCTCACCGGAGCTCTCAACTCAATTTGACAACAATAACAAATCCCAGTGCGCCATTTACTTGTGATTTTAATACAACAACAATAAAAATAAATAAGCCAAATAACACAAATAAGGTAAAAACTTTTTGCCCGACCTATTATTTAAAAAGAAGTTAAGAAAAAAGTTGCGCAAAGATGCTGTGAAGTAGGAATCTTGCAGGTGCCACTCGAACGACGGCGTATAGTGAAGTGGGCTGAGTTGACAACCGGCGCAGATACAACATTTTTTCGCACTTTTGTGAAAGGCAGAGGGGGAAATAAAAAATGTCAACTTAAGCCAATTTGCCAAAAATTCTTTAAAAATGAGTGGGAATTTGCTTTGTGTTGCTCGGTGTGCGGGGAAAAGTTTCTGTCAATCATTTTCACAAACGATTTATCACATTTAGTCGCACAATAAATACGCAAATAAGCTTTAGTATTTCTTCAGGATAATATGTTCCTCCGCCATTTTTTATTGTTCGTACCGTAGTTGTTGTTGTTGCCGCTGTCGCTGTGCTGCGACAGTCACAATAAAAGTTCTTGCTCGTATCATTACAACAAATCTTTTTTAGCTTTTTGACTTTTAGCAAATAAAATAAATTTTTTTTCACTCACAATTTACAAATAAAATCCATTGTCATTCGCTGTATTGTTGATGTTGTTGTTGTTGTGAAATATTATCAGTATAACGAGCAACTCCTTAAAAAGTTGCTTAAATACAATAACAATAACCGGCGGGCGAGGGGAGAAATGTTGTGGTTGGGCTATGCCTTGTTGCTTGCGTGTTATCCACCACATGGGGTGCTTTGTGTGTGGTGGAATGAGAGTGGCGCGAGTAGGCCATTGGGTGAATGGGTAATGGGTAATGCGAGTGTGTGTGTGTGTATGTGTTTCTCTGTTGGGCTGTGTTTGTATTGTAATTTTATCAAATTGGCTGGAAAAATGTGTCATTGTTATTACATTTTCATTTTTATGAAGTTGCGTTTTCAATGCAAGTTTTCCGATTCATTATAAAAAATTTTATTCACTCGATTTCTATAGAATTTTTGTGCTTTTTACGTTTCGAAAGAGAAGATTATTTTTGGATTTTATTTTATTGCTGCGAAAGTCTAAATGTAATTTTAAGTAGCAACAAAAGTTGATTTCAATGAAAAACTCCGCTAAAAACTCTTCTTCTTCCTTCTCCCTTTTGAAAAACTCGGTTTTTACATTTATGGGTTTTGCTTGTAATTGGGCGGAAAATTGTTATTATCCTCCATATATATTTATTTCAATTTTATTAAATGTGCTTAAAATGTCATTATTTTAAAGTTCAAATACGAAAAGGTAATAAAAGAGCTAACGAAATCAGACATGCGAAAAAATAAAAGCAAACAATTTTAAAATTAAATAAAAAAGACGGGTGGGTATGGACGTATGGGTAAAAATAATAAAGATTTAATTTTTGAGAATTTGTTTTATATATTCATGATCCATTAAACTTATTTTATAGTGTAAAATCTGCTGAGCAATGATAAATTCTTGGGAAAGGTGGAAGAAGCTATTTGGCTCTACTGACTTGAGTCCACAGTTTGTAAACGCCAGGGATAAACTATATACCACGGTTAAGGTTTAGTCCGTAGACATAACCGTATCGAACCTGTGTATGCCCGAAAGAGTGTGGTAGCGAATAATATGAGTCGGAAATACTTATGGCATTTTATAGAAGATTCCCCATTTAATGGCAACAAAAAAAATGCTCTGGTAGTATTTGCCAATTGCTTAGAAACGATATAATGCTATGACAAATTTTATAAAAGCAAAGAAATATTAAACACGTGAATCAAAAATCTTATAAAAACGGTATTAATCTCTAACCAAATAAAATAGAGTACATAAGACCTTACATATTACGGTGTACCAATCAACATCCTCATCATTAGCGGCGCAACGATCCTAGTTGATTGATCTTGGCCTCTCTGTGAAAATTCCTCCACGTATCTCTGTCGTTTGTTATCATTCTCCAGCTGTTGCGCTGTTGGGTGAACTCGGACGCCTTCTTCTTTCTGGTGAATATTGAAATATTTTTTTTGTTGGGTTATCTCTGCACATTCTTTGAATATGTCCAGCCCACTGTAATTGCTTTACAGTGGGCTTGCTTATTGCTGGTTCTCCTAGCTACCTTTTGATATTCGTCATTCAATCTTAGCCGTTAGGTGCCGTCTTCTTCTCTAATTGGACCAGGTATGCGACGTATAACATTGTGTACCAGTAACCGTTCTATAAAAACAACATAATTATCTAATGCATAGTAAATACAGCTGGAATACACATTTTTTAAACTCGTACATATGTATTTACTTACATTCATATCCTAGTTAAATTATTAGGAGATCAAAATTCGAACCTTATTCGTTATTTGTTTTTTCTATGCAAAACAGAAAAACTTTTTAATTCTTTCGTTTTGGCTCACTGAGTTTTATATATCAGCTCAATAAAACTGAATATCCTTTGCATATTTTATAAGCTGCCATTATGTCTACTTATATGTCGTTACGCAATAAAATAAAAATTTAAAGGCTTACTAACAAACTTCGCCCTCTTTCCGTTTCCGCTGCAAACCAGAAGTAAAAATACTCGCATTTAAATCCACTTTTGCATTTTTTTTATAATGAAATCCCTTAACGCGCATCAGAGCAAACCATAAATGTTGTTAAATGAAAGCAGAGTAGAGGGGGGAAATAACCGAAGTACATAAGAAATGTTTAAGTCTATAAAAAAGTTTACATTTTTAATACTTTTCACATTTCGTCTAATAAAAAACTTGTAAATTGTGCCTTTTTCTGGGAAGGAGCAAACTTAAAGGAAGCTGAAGGCAACTCAAGTTGTGAGTGTGTGAATGTAAACGGACGTAGTGGTATGTGTGAACACCTTTCATACATTTCTTATAAGTGTGTGTATCATGGGTTAGAGTTCAGCCGAATTCCGTTATACTGGGTTTCGTACCAAATCCTTTGCTTGGTAAAGAATAAGAGCTCCAGAAGCGCCAGCCATACCACCAGCAACAATGGCGTCGCCGATAACGACAACCTAAGGATGCTGTACAACAACACTAGAGCATGGTATCCCTGCGGATATTGCTTTTTGTTGTTTCGCTAAATGTCTCCGGGGCATGCATAGCAGAGGCAGTAGCAAAGGCTTAATCCAGCTTATGTTGCCAAGAACTGTTTTGGTATGCAGCAAAAATGTAAACGCGTTAAAACTGCGAGTCCTTTTTTTACCAGGAGCATTCTACTTGGTGGAAATTTTACTTTTTCTTCATTCCATTTTTGTTTCTGCTTTATTTGATTTACTTTTGTGAGTGTTTTTTGTGTAAGTTTTATATTCAAGTTTG